CTTTGTGCAGAGTCATGAATGCATTGTTTAGGGTTGTTGAGTGTAATTGATTGACTCGTATTCAATTTTAAAATTAGCCTAATTTTGAATTTTGAAATTTATATAATTTTTATGGTTTTTTACTAACCTACGTGTAGGAACGTGGTCGAAAAAAGAATACTAGAAACTGCCCCCCTTTTTTTATTAATAGATAAGAATTGAACTCCGGTGGTTCAAATTATCTTCTATTTACTCAAATTATACTTTAACACACTTGTATTTAATAAACATGATTTCGTACACAAGTGAATTACAAATCATATATTATACAGCAACATACTCTCTAACACAATTTTTTTAGTGTAATTATTTTTATTTAATAGAATTTATTAAAAACTACAAAAATAAAGAAAGATAATCATTAAATAGGATATAAAAGTCACTAAATTTTATGTTTTCTAAATATGTTTTAAAAATATATTAAAAAATGTGTTATTAGTGTAAATACACTTATGAATAGAATACGTTCAGAAGAGATATGTCAAATTAACAAAAATGAAAATACACGTATGAATAGAATATGCTAAATTAAATATTCTAATTCTTTTATAATAAATTAAAATGAAAATATAATAAAATATGTTAACTGATATTTAAATAAAATACATTAAAATATTATAATCAAAAGAAATTTAATATTAAATCAAAATATTATATAAAATCATTTTAATATTATTGTGATATAGAATGTCATTTTTGAAATTTATTTAATTAGTTACTTTTTATATTTTTATTTTACTTTCAATCAAAATTTAATTATAATAATTTTTCTTTATTTTTAAAATAAAATAACATCCTATAAGTATTTAAATAATTATACAAATGCAAAGATTTATTAAATTTTAAACACTTATAATATTATAAGATCTTATCATATAAAAACTTATTATATAAGATCTTAAAGAAGTTATTTCTTAAAACATATCATTATTCGAATTCATTGAATGTTTAATGTTAATTATAATTAAGATCTTATTACATAAAAACTTATTATATAATATCTTAAATAAGTTATTTCTTAAAATATATCCTTATTCATCGGATGTTTAATAATAATATAATTTTTTAAAATATTTAATATTAATATGATTCGTTGAATCACTAATTAAAGCTTACATGGTATAAAATCTAAAAAAATTAATAGTTGCGGTTAAAAATGGACATCAAGTGTAAATTAAAATTACCAGAAATTATAGAGTTAACGACGCTAACTTAATTAGATGGAAAAGATGATATTATATCAATTTTAAAAATGCAAACAAGGCCACTATACAACCAACAAGGTGAGATGGTTCATCATTATGTTCAATTCCATAGAGTATTTTGGACATTTAAACCTTGTATCAATGGGTTCAAATACTGCAAGCCCATTGTTCAAGTTGATGGCACATTCTTGTATGGCAAATACAAAGGAACTCTCCTTGTGGCCGTGGCTCAAGACGGTAACATCAAAATCTTTCCAATTGCCTTTGCAATTGTTGAGGGTGAAACAACAGAAGCATGGTTTTTCTTTCTACATTATCTCAAAAGACATGTTTGCCCTCAAGATGGCCTTTGCTTAATTTCGGACAGGCACGAGTCTATCAAAAATGCCTACGCTAGATAGGGCAGTGGTTGGACACCCGGGAATTCAGTGCATGTGTTCTGTATTCGCCATATAGCTCAAAACTTCATGAGACATTTCAAGAATATAGAACGAAAAAAATTAATCATCAATATGGGTATGTACTTAGCATCATTAATTACTTTTATTTGTTTCACCATATTTCAACATTACTAAATTGTTCATTTTTTGCTAATCTGATTTCACAGCATATGGGATGACTGAGCCAAGATTCAATTACTACTACAACACGCTAAGGAGCGAACCAGAAACCGAAGGTGTAATTGAATGGCTCAACACCATACCAAAAGAACAATGGACTCTTGCATGGGACGGTGGCCGACGATGGGGACACATGACTACCAACTTGGTTGAGGCAATTAACTCCATTTTTAAAAAAATAAGAAATTTTCCAATTTCTACAATCATCATGTCGACTTATAAGAGATGTAATGCCTTATTCATCCAAAGGGGGAATGAAGTCGATGCTAAACTTAGGGCTGACAAAGTTTATACGGAAATAATGAATAGGGCCATGAGAGATGCAGAATCAAAGGCTAATAGTCATCATGTCCTAGAATTTGATCGTCACAGTACACGTTTCCTGGTGCAAGAGACCATTAACCCAAGGGAAACACGACCTACTGGAACTTTCACGGTTAGACTACATGACAAGTGGTGTGACTGTGAGAAATTTCAAAAGCTACACATGCCATGCTCCCATGTTGTTGCTGCATGTAAGCATGTTCACCACGATTATAAATCTTACATAGATCCGGTATACACATTACAATATGTTTCAAATGTGTATAACGAATTATTTGGTGAACTGCCCAATGAATCTTATTGGCCGGATTGTGAAGAACCGCAAATCATACCAAATTTGGAAAAGATTAGAAATAAAAAAGGTCGTCCAAAGTCATCCAGAATACGCACTGAAATGGATATGGTTGAACCAGGACAACCAAAAAGATGTTCTCTCTTCAAAAATGTAGGTCACTCAAAGAAGAAATGTCCTTACCGTCAAGAGAGTTCAAGTCACAAAGCTTAAAATGTGATAAATCTTCCAAATATTGTATTTTTTTTCTATTATTTTATATAAATATTTTATCTTTTTAAAATATTTTAATTAATATTTATTTCATTATTTATTTAATTAATAATTATTTCATTATTTATTTTTATTCTAAAAACTTAACTAAATTATTTTATTTAAAAATACGAAAAATACTAAAAATTTTTAAAAAACTAAAAATTTAAAATTAAAATACGAAAATAAGAAAATTAAAAATCTGAAAAAAGAAAAACAAAAACAAAAAAAACAAAAACCAAAAAAAAAAAAACAAAAACCAAAAAAAAGAAACAAAAAAAAAAAACAAAATAAAAAAACGGTGTCAGCCTGTTGAGAAATGGGTTGTTAACAAACCGATTTCTCATACGGCTTATGCATGAAGAAACTGATTCTCCCAACCAATTTATCATCTTAAATAGTAAATGAGTCATTTTAATAAATAAAATGAAATAAAATAATTTAGAAAAGTAAAAAAAAATATTAAATAAAAAAAGTCGAAACTCTGTGATTCTCGTAGGAAGAATCATTAAATAATGTCACACCTAGGAGCGCTTGCCAAACGTGAAAGTGATTCACCAAAACCCAAAAAGTGTTTCCCCACACCACTGCCAGTGCCACTAGCTGAGTTCAGTTCACCTCAGCTTGGGGGACCACGAATGAAACAAGACCCTTGTGCTCATTCAATTCTCTTGCTCACGCAACAAGCAACAACATTAATTATTCTTCTTTATTCCTTGCCTCTCATCTTTAATTTATTCTATGAATCATCTTAATTGCCAGTAGTATTTATATCACAGTAGCATATTTACTTATTTATGTTATTTGTAGTATAATAAAGATAAAAAGTATTATAAAGATAATTTTAATAATAATTAATTATTTTAATTTCTCTCTATTCAATCATTAGAATAATTATTTGTAATCTTTTGATTAAGTGTGTATGGATTTCAATTAAGCTGATGTCAACTAGAATTAAAAAAAAGTTCTATTTATAAACTTCTGTTTTTTCTTCTTTTATTTATTAGAACACATTTTTTATTACTACTAACTTTGTGGGGATTAACCTAGGAAGCTGAATCCTGAAACAGAGTTCTGTGGTGTGGACTGTACCACCCTATCACTTTTCTCTCAAATCTCAAAAAACAGTGACATCTCCATTTGCCATCTGTATCCTCCCCTGCCATACCCGCGCCTTCTCCCATGTCGCTTTGAAATCACCGCATCCATCATTAAATAAATTAAGTCTCACATTCTTTAAAAATAAAAAAGTTAAAAAATATATAAGTAAAAAATAATTTTTATTTATAAAATTAATTTAGACTTAATTTATTATTATAAAATAATATTAGAAATATCTTAGATTATTAAAAAAAGGATTGTCTATTCTAAATTATTAAACAAAATTACTTATTATTTATTTATATATTAAATTCAATAATATTAAAAAATAATGTACGGAAGAAAATTGAAATTTTAAATTAATTAAAAAAAATAATTAAAAATATATAAATAAAAATAATTTATATTCTATAAGATTGAGTTAAATTATGATTGTGTCCATCCATTTTTCAGGGCATTTCCAATGCAAGCAACTCATTTGAGTTGCTTCATGCATTAAAAAATAAAAAAAGTAATTTTTAGTGTGTCATATCAACATTAAGCAACTCAAGTACAAATTTACTTAAATAATAAGAAACTTTAAGAAATTCAACTTTTAGAATTTTTTTCTAATTATTTATGAATCAAATTTAAATTTTTATTAAAAAAAATAATTGCACTACGATGAAAAGAAAATAAATTACGAAAAAAAATACACAATAAATAGATATTAAAAATAAAATAAAGCAATAGTAAATACATAAATATTATATGAAATAAATTTTTATCATTATTATTTTTGAAACGTTTCTAAATATGTTCAATAAGATCTACTTGAAATCTGGTAAGAAACGAGTTGTTTGAGGAAGCGACTCTCTCTCTTCTTCAAGTAACTCATGTTGCCACTTCAAAATCTTCCAATAACAAGAAAACCGAGACTTGAGTTACTTCACGAGACAAACAACTCACGTTAAAATTACTCTTATCAATCTTTTTGTAATTATTTGTGTCTATTTAAAAATAATAATAATCAGGATTTTGTCTTTACAGGAACATTTTCTCCCATATTTTATTTTATCTGTACTTAAAATAAAACATTTTAAAGTACAGCAAAAAAAAAAAAAAGAAAGAAAAAGAAGAGAAAAGTTGGTGAAAACAGGGAGAGAAGAGAAAGTGTGTGAAGAAAACATAGGCAGAGGAAGAGAAGTGGCACATACCTGGCGTGGCGACTGGCGATGGCCTCGCTGACCCCTGGCGTGCTGTCGAAGCTTCTAGAGAACGCGGGAAGCAAGGTGACGGCGTCGCACCGGCAGGCCCTCCTGCAGGTCACGGAGATCGTGCCGCGGGTGTCGCCGCACTCGCCGCTCCACACGCGCGGCTACTTCCTGAAGCTCTCCGACTCCCTCCACGCGGCCTTCGTCTCGGTCTCGGACGCCGACGCCGACCTCATCTGCTCCGACAAGCTCCAGCTGGGCCAGTTCGTGTACGTGAGCCGCCTCGACCACGCGCACCCCCTCCCCCTCGTCCGCGGCCTCAACCCCCTCCCCCGCCGCCGCCCCTGCGTCGGAAACCCCACATTGCTCCTCCAACCCACGCTCCAACACGAGCTTCAATCTAACAACAACGAGGTTGAGGCTAAAAGGGCTTGGGATCACACTCCTCCTTCCGTCAACAAACCCAAACCTGCTTCTGCTAGACTCAAGCCCTACAAATCTAACGTTTGTTACTCTTCTCTTCTTCTCTTCTTCCCCTTTCTGCTACTCTTCTTACTTCTTATATGCTGCATCCCACACGCTTTTCTTGCCGCCTTTCGCTTTTCATAATCTCACTAATTGTTGCTTTTTTATTTTTTTTTTAATTTTTTCTTCGGGTGACTCCTGGACCACTAATCTCTTCTTCTATTAACTTCCATTTAAGGGGCTGGAACCTGTAATTCGTTCTTTTCTTATTTTGTATCAGATACATGGTTTTTTTATTATTATTATTTTTTTATTTTTATAAAATAATTTACACCCACCTTAATAAGGAGGAAGTTAGTTATAACTTGGTAGTATACTCTATTGAAAAAGAAGTGGGTGGGGATTAGTAAATTCTACGAGTATGTGTTAACTTGCTTCCATTTGGATTTTCTTAGGAGTAAGTTAACAAAGTATTTTAAATGAAATTGTAGTTTTTGGTTACTAACTTTTTTTTTTTTTTGAAAAAATTAAGTGGATGGAAATCAACAGTATTTTGGTTTTTTTTAGAGGTTTGTCTCCTGAGTATTTCACATACAGAAGAAAACTAGAAGATTATTTATTTATTTTTCGGTTCTTATAATACTTGTTTTAGAAATAATTTTTAAAATGTTGGAAATGGGTAGAATACTTTTAAAAAAGAGAAATGATATTAGATTAGGTGCCAAACTCGCGAAATTTGTGATTTGTTTGAAAGAGAATAATGCTGAAACTTCTTTTGAAAAATAGTTTTCGAACGAAATTGGGGAAAAAAGAAGTAGGATGACCTGAAAACTTTTTTTGAGTTTCCTTTTTTGGGGGAAGGTTTTGCCTCTTGACTGCACTTGTTTGTAGTTTTCTTAATTTGCATGTTATTTTCTGTGCGGAGGTTTTGTTGAGGGAAAAGGATATTTTACTTCTATAACTTTTTTTTTTTTATTTGTTAAAAAAAACTTTTTCTCTTTTTTCCTTTTTTTATTTGAGGGAATGAGTGTGTTCTTTTATGTGATATTTGATGGGGGCCACGTTTTTAGAAGGGAAAAATTTCACCTTTAGACATTAGAATCGCGAATGTAAGTGTGATGCAACTTGCAAGTCGTATTTAGCGACTAATCTATGTTCCCGTGTTTAAGTTTGTGAATTTTAAGGAAACGTGAAATTGTCGTCCCACATCTGAGTTTTGTTTTTATTTTTTAAAAATCACTGTTTCGGATAAAGTTAATGTTGAATGAGGGGGCCCTCTTGGCTTCTTAAGTCTTTTGCGTTTTTAAAAGGTTTTTATTTCTTTTGGTTTGGACCACCAGGTCAACAGTGTTTTCTTTTATAAGCTTTGAAATGCTGTTGATGTGTTAGGGTTTTGGTTAGGCTTTTTTTAATTGAGTTTCGTGAATGTTTGAGGTCAGTGTTGGTAGGGCCTTCGCTTTAATGGGCTTTTGAGGATTCTGCATACTCTGTCTGCACTGCATGTGGGTAGAGAAAACACTTAACACTGATATGTTGTATGAGACAAAAGGTTGATTTTCATGTGTCGTTTCTTGTGTTTAACTGTTTTGAAGCTTATTGTGGGTTGATGGTGTATGATGCTGTAGGTGTTAGACAAGAAGGTTTCTGTTAAAGCTGTTTCTCCTCTAAAATCTCCAACATCAAGTGTCTCACCCTTGAAGAACAAAAACGAGAACTTGTGTCCAAAATCATTGGCAAGCACACCCCCGAGGAAAAATACTAGTGCTAGGTCACCCTCTGGTGGCACTGTTCCTAGCCAACTTGTTAAGGTACCCCTCAATTTCAAGACTTGGTGTTACGACACACCCGCATGTTGGGCTGATCTCTCACCCTCCTTGTGTGATCATGGAAAGGTATTGAACTTGACTTGTGTCTGGCTAATATTCACACTTGCATGCCATCATCACATTCCAATTTTTGAATGTTGTAGTGTCACTCTTTTGCAGCAAGTTGTAGCTCACAGAAATGCTGCTTTTTTGGCGGCTGTGCGGTATCTTGAAGAAGCATCTGCTACAGATACTTTGATCCAATGCATGCGGTAACAATACCGTTCTTTTGTTACCATTTTCTTTTTCCCTTCCTGCTTGTTGTATTGGAATTGGCCATACTTATTTCTAACCGATGATATTATCTGTTAATTCAGTATTGTTAATAATGCATTTAATAATATAATGAACCTGAACTTGTTTTTTCCAGAAAACATTTATAATTATTGAAGTACAGAAATGATTTTATTCCAGAAATTCTGTGCTTTTCAGTTGTTCATGTACAAGAATGGATAATTTTATTTCAAGGGAAATGATTGTTTATTTTTGAAAAGCCCTCTTTAAGTGATTATTTTTTTAGAATAAGATAAATACAACTTGTACTATCGCATGTGCTTCATAATTACATTGACTAAGATGAATATTCTCCTTCAGCATGTATGCAGAACTTTGCCAGTCTTGTCAAACATATTCTGCTGGATCACTTGTGAAGCAGTTTCTGGAGCTTCACCTGAGTTTGCAGAGAGTAACACTGGTATTTGATTCCTTACTTGCCCAGCCACCTGAAACAAAGCCAAGCAATCTCCTTACCCTACAGTGTCTAACAGAAGATGCATGCAAAGTTCCCACTCGGAAGAATGCTATATCTTGGGTACAAGCTGCCATAGTTACCGATCTTTCCAAATTCAATCTATACGAAACACAGGAGAAAAGTGGGGTTCCAAGTGGTGAGAAATGTCATTATGTTGTCATTGAGAATTCTTCTGAGGACAACAATACGGAGAATTCGCCTGCTCAGAACAAACAAAATCGTGTAAATCAAGCAAACCACTTGCCAAACTCAACTGCAAAAAGATTTCCTTCTTCGAAGCGGAATCTCTTGGCAGCCAAGGGCAAGGATGCTATCAAACAGGATCAATCAAAACAAACTGAATTAAAAGAGACTGCAAGTTTGGCCAAACAACTGCTTGAGGCATCTAGTGATTGGTTCCTGAAGTATTTGGAAGAATCTCTTAATAATGAATTTGGGTTGAAAAATGAAGCAAGCACTGAGATTGCATGTCTTCTTGGACAGCTCAAACAGGTGAATCAGTGGTTAGATAATTTGGTTGGTGGAGATAAGGTTGATCACAGGGTAGAGAAACTAAGGAAAAGAATGTATCGGTTTGTACTTGAGCATGTTAATTCTGCCGTTGCTTCTAATCAGTAAATGTAGAACCACGAGAACTAACAGAATTGACAAATTGGAGAATACTATCCTCAACTGACTCTGCATTGGATAGCTGACAGTGGTATTACAGAGAACATTTAAAGTTTAAACAGCTCGTGTTAGTCTTGGTACCGTATAATGACCACTTAACTTAGAATCATGTACCTTGTTGTATAATTTAATCTAACTTTGTCGCTGAACGAAGTTATGCCCAATATTATGCAATTTTGAGCTGTATTCTATCGATATGGATGCTACTATTGGCTGAAAACTTATATTATAATTAATTTATTTTGGATTAATGTTTTGGTCATTTGCTTTCAAACAATGTTTAGCTAACCTAGGAGATCTCAGTTCAACAATCGTGCATTCTTAATTTTTAGTTCTGATTCATTGGCTATAAATTGTTGGGTTTTGCTTTCAAGTATTGTGTAAAAAAGTTGACTGCTCAACTTAGCAGGCTAGTTTCTTCTGCGGTGCAGAATGTTTTGGTAACATTAAGCTCCTTAAGTTTTCAGTTTAAAGACAGAATGAGGAATCATGCTATAAAGAAAGACATTTTAAAAGGACACTGAGACCAAGTGAGAAGTTACATCAAAACTTAAAAGCCAAATGCCTTGTGGTGTGAAGCCAAGCATTTAACCTTAGTATTCATATTTAGTTTGTCAAAAAGTAATCTGTGTCGGATGAGGTTGATGATGTCTGAAGTTGTGACTCCTCAACGATTGTAGTTGACTTTCCCAAAGCTTTCATTCCTTTACAAGACTTCATGTGTTTGTGCATTTTCTCAGGCTTAAACGACTTCCCACATTGCCTGCATCACCAAGTCTTATTTATGGTCTCAAAATTCATGATTATGATAAAGACGTGAAATAGAAAGTGTCTCGAAACATGGGCATCGAGTACTTAGCTCATACTACCATAATCACATTTAATTAAGATGCATGAAACATACTTAAACACTAGACCCCGCAGCCAAAAGTTGTTAAACATCACAATCTGCTAATTAATGTCATCCTTTTTATATTTTATATTTTTTTGTTACAAAAATTAAAATTATTAATTCTGGCTATATTAATCCAACCATCCGAATCTTCACTCGGTTGGTCTTTTTGTTGGAAACTTTTGCCACTTGTCGTTTCAGTAGTACGTCACACATTTTGATTGTTTATGCTTATTAAGACTAATAAACAGTCAAGTGCAGCCACTGGTCACCATGCACCTCCATCAATCAGGCCATGATAAGTCCTAATGCTGTATCCTATTGATCTTCAATCACTGTGCTAAAATATCCTCCACAAACATGACCATGATATTTCATGCACAATTTCTCCTCTCACCATATTGCTGAACTAACAATTGAAATTACTCAGGTGACATGTTCAGTCACTTACGAGCAAATTGGTCCACCAAATGGTTTGCTAGAAGTTTGATTTATCAACTCCCCTAACTTTTTCCTTCTCCCGGTTGTTTCTTCTCCATCAAAGCTTTTTCTGCAAGAGAGGGTAAAATAAATAAAACAGAACTAAAGAAACCAAGCAAATATAATATTAGGATCACAATTTAGAATATTCAAAGCTCAATTTATAACTGACCTTGCCCCATATTGTTGTTTCTGGTGATGAGTACTCCAAGAAGTCCCAAAACACCTGGCTGATCCTCCCAATTTGTCACCCTTACAAATCTCACCCTTTATTTCAGGTATGTTGTCAAGCTCCTTGGAGAATTTTTTTTGAGCAGGGTTCATCAGGACCAGGGCTGCATCATTTGTTTCCACCGTGCCACAAGTAATCCAATTGCGGAACACACTAGAAACTCTAGTGGAATTGCTTCTGGTCTTGGTAAAGGAAGATTGAGATGATGATGATGATACAGTGGACAAGGATGAATCAGGCGAGTTAGTTTTGTTCTGGTCATCTTTACGGCTACCCTTCTTACTCAACAGATTGTGATACAAGGAAGGCAATGTGCTAGTCTCTAACTTCTCTTGCTTAATTTCATTCAAACCAACTTTGCCTGTTAGCTCTAAATGCTTCTCTTCTTCAACCTTAGAAGAATCATCATCAGTCACAGATGACCTGTCTGAGCTGAAAACCAATGAGTCCTGGCTGATTTCTGATGACCCTTTTGTTGGAGTATCCGTTTTCAAATCCGGGTCGGGTTGAATTTGAGGTTTTTCTGCTAAAGATGGCTGCTGTTGTTTGTCCTCTACAACTTGTACTTGAGGACATTTCCTCTCAGCATGGATGTCACAAACAGTAGTTTTCTTTTCATCATGTGGAGTTGTTGTTGCTGCATTGTCCAAAAGTAGAAAAAATTAATGAGGCTTTTAACATTCTTGGAAAAGTGTACATGCTTTGGAAATGTCCATGGATGGAAATTATGGGTGGCCATACCCAAATATTAATGTTAACAACAAAAGTGGGAACAGTGATTATCCCTGAGTACATACCGAATGGGGTAGGGTGGATTTGTGATCCTTTGAGGACGTATTCATTGTCAGAGATGGGGGTTATGAGGTCGTCATCCAACAAGTCTTGCCACACATATCCACTCTTGTACCTTCTGCCATTCAATAATTGTTAGTTACAAATTCATCATACTCACATATTTAGTTAAAGGCTAAAAAAATGGGGTAGAGAAATGGACCAAAGCAAGGATTAGAAGGGTATGACTCAACCTCTTGTAGGACCAAGCAAAAGCCTCAGGCAAGTCTTTTCCTCTCAATTCCCCAAGCCATCTCTTTACATCTTTCAAATAGATAAAAGACAATACAGTTAGATAGTAAAAATCACATTAGTCACAATTGAAATGAATCAATGATCCATGGACACCAAGAACTCATATACCACCTTGAGAGAAAAGATAGAAGATTGTAGATGTGATAGATAATATGATGTGACAAGAGAAAAAAAGAGAGAAAAAAAAGAAGAAATGTCAATTAAGTGTCTGTCCTATAACTGGTGTTCATATATCACTATGTGCAGAAAGAACAAGAGGTAGTATAGTCAGAGCCAGATGCATAATAGGCTGACATAGTCGGTGTTAAAATAATGTTTGGCCGGTAAAAATTATATCCTATCGGTACAAATTAGTTTTTATCGTCAACTTTGGAATATTACGCGAATGATGTCCATGGACAACAAAGATGCTGAAGAGGCTAAACTAGAAGAATGAGAATGAAGTAAAGAACATAGATAACTTACCTCTTAGATAAACCCCATTACGAGCAAGATGAAGAACACGAATTAGATGAGGATGATCTGAACGACCACCTATGTGACTAAGGAAGTAAATGATGTGAAGCCTTCTTACTTCTCCTCCACCTCTAGCTTCCATTCCAATTTCTCTAGATTTGTTGTTCTTGTTGCCTTTGCTGCAATAAGCACCACCAAACAAGTACTCTTCTTTTGAGGCACAACACAAACAACCCTCTATTGTTAACTATGCTATCTTATACTATGATTCAAAATATTATATAAAACGAAGAAAAAAGCAGATAACATGGGAAAACCCACAAGAGATCTTTGTCTCTCTGCCGGCCTGCTACACAAGGAACTGACATAACAACAAATAAACCTTTGTGTCTAATAAAATATTCATGATTTCATATCATTATCATATAATATAAGGTTTATATAATGCAGGCCTGCTAGGTAGCTACATGAGCATACATGGATTGGTTATTTTTTAACAAGAGAACAAAAACTTTTTATCTCGCAAACATAAATAAAAGAATGAGAAACATCGAGACTAGAGAATACGAAGCAAGTAATTGGTTTGTGCAGTAGAATGCAGTTACCTTTACCTCTTGTCTCTAACAGAGAGAGAGAGAGAGAGAGAGAGTGAGAGAGAGAATGTGTGAGAAAATTGACCAGGTTTTCAGATATATAAAGATTTAGTTACGGAGTGGAACCAGCTTCAGGGATCATCTGATTTCTCGCGATGTAACGAATGGATAATAAATGTGTAATAGTCAGCTTTTGACTCAACATCATTGTTCCCCAAAATGTTCATTTCTGTTTTTTTTTTTTTTACTATAACCTTTTAAGGATTTTGTTCATATATTTAATATTTTTTTCTCTCTACAACTTGTTATTATTGTTTTATTTGGATCATCACAGATAATATTGTTTTGGAATATGGGAACTAACTGCAAATGTTTTCTATCATATTGTTTCTTTTTCTTTCTAACAGAAATGTTGTGTATTAAAATATATACTTAATTACTTGGTCAATACTGCATGGATTTACCATTCTTGCCTATAGATATTTTCTTTTAATCGGAAAACTTCTTTTTATGTACTTGAGTAATTTTGGTCATATAATAATTATTATTGTTGACTTTCTAAAATTCAACAAACAAAAATCAGGGTAAACCAATTGGAATTATCTCACTGAGATGTCCTAATCAATTATAATTAATGGTTAAAATTCTGAAGTCTATGGGAATGATTTAAGAAAGCATATCACTTTGCCTTGGTCAAATAATAAAATTAAATGACATCTAGAAAATATGTTATTAAGAAAACAATTAGTTTTTGCACACTATTTTATTAAGTAAGCATAGAAAAAACATTATTAAAAACAAGAGTTTCATACCCATGTGCTTGTAGTGAGTCAACTAATAAAAATATTTTTTTATACGAATTTTAAGATAATTATTTAACAGTCAATAAACTTATATTATCGATAGATGTATTATTTATTCAAAAGATTTGAACATGAAAGAGTTATTTACAATTTTTTAATATAAGAGACGTGTATTTCAAAGGATAAAATCTAGAATTATAAAATCAATTTGATATTTTAATAATTTTATACTTCCTGCTCCCCTTATCTCAAATCTTTAGTCATTAAAACTTTTTTGTCTCAAAATAATTGACTTTTAAAATTTTAAAGATTAATTAATACAATTTATTTTCTTGATTATATATTTATTTAATACATAATGTCCTTCAATTATTTACTTTATTTGTTTACAACAATGATGATATTGAGATATTAATCAGATATTAAATAAGGGTTTTTTTTATAAATATATTTAGTCAATATATTACACTTTAGTTTAGGAAATCCTATATTTCTTAAGATTGAGATTATTATTATTATTTTTTTATCTACAAGAATTATAATGATAGCAACAAGTTTAAAATTTGAATTTTATGCATACTATTTTACCTACACACCATTATGTTGATTTTAGTGGTTAAGAGCTAGACCTAAGTTTTCTTATACACATACCCTTTTTTTTTTTTTTTTTTTATAGGAAAAGACATCCATTGCAAAAACACACCCAACTTTAGATCTAAACCTAAAATTACTAGTTACAAATTACAAATAAATATATAACAAATACAGGGAAAAGGATATAAAACACTCCGATCATTTATGTTTTGCTGACAGCCTAACGCAGATGCAACAAAAAAGAAAAGCAAACCATTGAACAAAAACCAAGTTGACTTAATTCGAAAGAAAAAAAAAATGATGAAGACAAATAGATGACAAAAAAGACACTAAAAGTGGGTAATGAAAAAATTTGACAATTTGAAAATACCAAATGGCAATCTTGGCCAGCAAGTACATTATTCTACAGAAATCATATAAACAGAAGGGAGGAAAATCGTGAAAGAAAAATTGCAAACATAATGGTCCAAAAAACAAAGCATTTTCTTGAGATATTGACCTTTTCATGATGTGGAGATCATCCTTTGTATAGTGTGGGTAGCCTTGTGGTGATTCCATAGCAATTGAATCCATGACACACAAGTTTTGTTTTATCCCTTTTGTCCTTCTCCTTCAACATCACATTGCAATTTTCATCAAGAGGAGCCATAAATAAGTAGTTGAAATACAAACTTGGAAACTAATTATTCTTTGAAAACAATTCAATTAGAGATTGTCACCTTCAATGAAAAGGAATGGTTCTACTATGTAATTCTAAACATGCATTAATTACATCTTTATCTTTATATCATTATGTTTTATGTGGCAAATAATTTCTTCATTGCAAATAAAATCGAAACATGAAACATTTTCTTACTTACTTATCTTAAATTTATTTAAAATTTGTGCGTATTTATTGTTCTCTGATTTTATCTCTTCCCTTTGAGAAACGGTGCACAATTTTCTGTTGTTGTTTTTCATTTTTTTTTATCAAACTTTTGCTGTCATATTTTTCTCTTTTAAAATTTCTAATATAATAGCTGGCATGATCTCTTATTTTGCCGAAAAAAGAAAATTGGGACCATATAGTTTAATATAACCAATTGCATGAGCATCTTATGAAAATAAGGAAAGAAAACTGTTGGATGAATATTTATTAAATCATGTGATTGTGAACCTAGCTTGCCAATGGAATTTAACAATCATATGAGGAGGGTCAGCGAAATAATGGAAATATTGCTGCTTAACTAATAAACAGGAGCCGTAGACAATGCAACAACCTACTAATTCATTAAGACATAGGTCAATTTAAAGAAACAAAATATTCTTAATGAAAGACATTGCAAATAAATAAATTAAATGGGTCACCAAAATCTTGTACTCCTGTGTTTATTTCTTCTGCTTTTTATTTAATAAGATATATCTAACTCTTTTTTACTGGGTCAATTTATATAAAATTAAAGTGATATCTTTTGTCGTGATTGTATGTCTAAGTTTGATATCAAACTCCAATTTTTAGTTAAAAAATATAAGTGTATATATTTTGGTACTCTTTTGTGATTTGATTAATTAAATATATTTATGCATTCTCAAACTCAAAAATTACTCTATCGAAAAAACTCTACTTCATCAGTTCTTGAGTAATAAAAATAATTCTCAAAAAATTCTATAAGAAATATAATATATTGTAATATATAAAAATGTCACTATATGTATAAAATATCGATCTAGACATAAATCTATTTAACATATAATTAGACACAATTTTAATTTTAAATAAAATTTGACAACATATATTATGTGTCATTATAATATATCTATACTTATTCTTTTTAATAATATATCAACATGTATTGTATTTATAGTATAATGATAAAAATAATTTTTAATAACAAATATCATGTTACTATAAAATATGTATCATCATATGATAATTTTTTTTAATAGTAAAAACACTTATTGAATGAAATTTAATTAACATTTTAACCTAATTTGCACATTATATACTTTAATTTCATCAATTTTCTAGTGGTGGATACAAATTAAAAAGGTGAATCAAATTTCATACCATCACAGTTTAGTCCAAAAATACTTTATAATTATGCTATGAAATTTAATTTGACATTTTTATCTTTCTATTTTTTAAAATGTTAACACACATAGGTACATATTTATCCATTTTTCTAACTAATATTATATTAAAATTTCCGAGAAAAGGATCTTCTGTAACTCAATTTTTTTAATAATGAATTACATTTTAATTAAGTCCAACGAGTTTAGTTAAAAAATGTTCCATCTATTATATATGTTATAAAATTTTGATATTTTACTTTTTGATTTTTACACTGTTCTCAGACGTAGATTATTGACATAATTTTTATCCGTTTCTCAAACAAGGAAATTATATTAATACTTCCGAGAGAAAAGCTTCTTCTAACTCAATTCACGTGTGATACACAAATATTCGAAGAGTTTATAAGTTTATTTGACAATTTATAAGCTAATTTTACTAAAATAAATTTGTTTAATATAAAATTTATAATTTATTTTTATAAACTAATTGAAGTGACAACTTATGATTCTCTCTTCAAAAATAAAGGAGAAGGCACTATAAGAAAAGGAAAGCATTAATTTCAAACCTCAAATTTTGTACCGGATAAATTAATGCTATAAATATCCTCCATTTAAAAAAGAAAAAGAAAAAGTTATTTTTTACACAAAAAACATGTAATCAATCACAATTTTGGTATTAAATTAAGGAATTAATGAAAAAAGTAACAATAAAATATACATAATATTTTTGGGATACATTACTTATAGGGAAAATAATATTTTTTTTTCACAAAATATTATTAAAATGAATAATTATTTCTTTAAAACAAGTTAAATCATCTACCAAAAAAAAAAAAAAAACAAGTTAAATCAATCATGTAGTATTTAAGACTTCTTTTTAGGGCGAATAAACAGAAGGCAAGAGAAAATTGAAAGATCACTTGTGTTCAGGTACTGCAAATGGATACATTTAATGACAACCATGATATATAAAAGATAATAAGAAAATATAAATATAAGAACCATAATTAAAAAAGAATTAATGAAAAAGATAAATCTGTTACCTCTTTCCTTTCTTGAAAATAATATATAATATTATTCAAGTGATAGAAGCATTGTTTTAAAATCGGACTGGTTGAGCTAGAATCGGTGGTCCAGTTGGTTCGAACCTTGAGTTGGATCAATTATGTATTTGACCCGTTTTAAATTGGAGTGAACCGGTCAATTTTTCAGTTCGACTAGTGAACCGGTGGGTCAAACCAGTTCAACCACACATTTTTTTTAAATTTTTTTTAAGGGACCACAAACCACAAAAATAATAATGGGAATTGGATCCTATTAATGAATGAGCAAAAATTCTTATTAAACATAACAATGACTACTTGTTCTAATATATTTGTTTGTAATAAATGCAACCTAAATAACTTTTATAGTATATTATTAATTTTAAATTATATATTTAATAATATAATATCTATGTAGATATTACATATATTATTTTGTGACATGAATTGCAAGTATATTATATATGTACATATTATTTATATTTTTAATTTGCATTAATATATAGTTTAACGTATTTTTTTATGTATTTCTTTATGTAAAATAAAAATAAATAATTTTAAATAAGATGGAAATTAAAATTTAAAATAGGATATGAATTTATTGAATTTTTTAAGTATAAAATATATTTAACATGGATATTTTTTTTAAATTAATAAAACTGGGTCATGTGGTGTAATTAGTGACCCACATGTTCAACCTTTGACCCACTAATCCAATATCCTAATCGGTTTGATGACCGGTCCAGTTTTTAAAACTATGGATAGAAGGAAAACGAAGCAAGTGTTTATATTAACATACCCTAGTGCGAAAACAACACATTACATCATGCTTCTACATAAGAAGAAGAATTTCGATGACAATTTCGTACATATTGTCAACTTTATTTATAACGTTATAGTTTTCTTAATTATGTATATGTCTGTAATTAAGATTGATGTTTTATATCATTTTATAGGTTACTACGAGTTGTTCTATGCTATTTTGTCTAAGTTAGGACGAGAGTGAGAGTTGAGATGACTCTCGGCATAAGTTATAGAAGATATAACTTGAGTGTTTGAAAGTGATGGAATAACACTAAGGCCAAGAAGACCAAGATGTGATATATTGAAGGAGGCAAGAGGAATGTGTTAGTGTTGAAAAACCATAGGAGGAGTGGGCCTACTTTTGGGCCTTAGCTCCTACGTTTTCATTAACATAGAATTTATTCTTATTTCCAATTTTACCCTTGTCTTTAATTTTCTAATTTTACCCTTGTATTTTGGGGTATCTTAGTCATAAGATTTATTTTCATTTGTATTTTCCATTTTACCCTTGTATTATGGGGTGCTTTAGATCATAGGATTTTATTTTTGGGCTAAGGTATTTTATTAGGGTGAGAAAAGGGCTAGACGCATTTTTGGTGGTTTTTGGACCTATTTTTGGACTTGGAAAGGCTTAGGCCCAAGTGGAGAGCACTAGATTGCATGGTCTTATCATGCACCTAGATGTAACCTAACCAAACCCAAAGATTCCATCCTTGGCCACCAAGTTGCATCTAGGGTTAATTTGGGTTTCATTTGGTGTGCATTTGGCATTGCAAATTTCGGCCATGCAACCCTAAATGCAACCCTAGATGCCTCCCACTCTTATAAATACCCTAGGCATCACACCTTGTAAATACTTTGGATGTTGAATATAGAGAGCCTTTGTGCCTTTATATCATTTCTTAGTCACCCTTAGCTAATTCGGCCACCTCCCTCCCATCTCTACCTTGAGAGAAACAACCCTAGAAGTGACCTTCATCATCATGAAGTGAGCCAACCCTAGAGTACCTTCCTCAAGCATTTCCTCAAACACCTTCTACCCAACCTCCAAACATTTCCATTTCCGCCTCATTCCTCCATTAAAACGTCCCTTGAGGAACTTTGATCCAAGGAGTTCAAGCATCCCTTGCCATTGTTCAACATTCCTTCTTCAATGGAAGCAAGGATGCCATCATGTGGTATCTAGAGCCTTGGTTCTTCAAGGGTAACATCTTTGTCTCTTTAAATTCGGTCATGTCTACTTTGAGTCTCATTGTTGTCTTCTAAAGTTGTGCGTGATTGAGTCATCATCTTACCATATGTTCATGATTCATATTGTTTCTTTCATGTGTTGATTCATGCCTTCATCATTCTTGTGAATCATCTTGGTGCTTTAGGCTTCCTTGCTAGGGTTTCTACCAATTTTTCTTTAAATTTAAGTTGTTGGAAAATTTTGTGCTGCATGATATAATTGTTGTGATGCAAGCAAAGTCCCACATCATTCAAAAAAAAAGATGGACATGAGTTTATATACACACATTGTCTCCATTGGTTGAGAGGCCTTTTGGGTGATGTCCAAAAGCAAATCCGTGAGGGCTTGGGCCTAAAGCGGATAATAGCTCACTAATATGGAGACATGTGTATATGTGTGGTAACCCCTTCCGTGCACAACAAGTGGTATCAGAGCCGATGGTCTAATTAGGTGACGGACTCGACGAGTAAGATGGCTGGC